TATATATATATATATATATATATATATATATATATATATATATATATAATCCATGGATGTAGATTAGATTGTTAGGATTTTAAGAATTAGATTGGGAAAAAAGAGCTAAGAAGACACAAATTTCTACTTCATGAGATAGAACATGAGATATAATATAGTTGTTTGATAGGATTTTCGTCAAATATATTATTATTATGTCTTTCGTTATATTTCCTTTTTCACGCTAAACTTCTTTTGTTTTTTATATATTGTTTTCTGTTATTAGATTTTATGCTTTTGTTTATCATTTTTAATATTGTTCCTTAATTTTCTAATTTCTAATTGAAACTTATCGTTTGTTGTTGTTTCTTTTTTTAAATTTTATTATTTTGTTTGTCATTTTAATATTGTTTCTTCATTTTCTAATTTCCACTTGAAACTTATCTTTTGTTGTTGTTTTATAATTTATCAACAAAACTAATATCCAAAATAATCAAAATGTTTTATAGGAAGTGATAGATGACATTAATAACATATAAAGAAAATATTTGTAAGAAACAACTTGATGAAATGATTAGTATAAAAAGTTATTAACTCTAAATTAATAACAAGGATATAAATATTTCTAATACCGTATATGTATCAATAATATAATTATATTATTGTAATCAGCCCAACATATTTATCATAATTTTAATCACCATAGTTTTAATTCTGGGCAACGCACGAGTTTTCACCTAGTTTGAAAATAATTGGTTTCCTTCTCTTTTAGTGGTTGTTATGTTTATTGTATGATTATATGTGATTAATATGACTACTAAAACCATAAAATAAAGCATATCTGAAGCACTATGGAATGCATATAAAAACCGCATAAGCCATAGAACTAGTCTGGAAAATGTAGAACTTGTCCGGAATGCCTAGAACTAATCTGGAGTAAGTGGATAATTTTAACTTGTCCGGAATGTCGATAACTTTCTCAGCATAAACAGTAACATGTTTTTAACTTTTTCTATAAAAGAATACAAACATATTGTCATGTATAGTAAATAATGATAAACGAAATTGAAAGTACTATAAATTATTTAAATGTTTGCAACATTACGCCGTTGAAAACCACCATTGTTGCATTGTTTCTTGAAAAAGGTCAATCAACATTGTTATTGGTAGTTTGTGTGCATCTTTTTGATAACGCATTGATGAACTCAGCGTTGTTTGATGTCATTAAATTATAATGAACCACGGGGAAATATTGTATTTCCTATGTATGGTTATTGATTATGTCTATCCATGTAAAACAATCATCGGATAAAGCATGTCGTAGCCTACCCAAACTATCTTTAAAATAGGACTCTTAGTATGCTTCACATGCCTCCCAATTTTTTTTTCGCTTATGTCTTGTTTTTCGATCTTTGCTTGCATATTCATCAACAAATGTCAACATCAAATTCTATGATATGCATTTCGAAACACAAATTGAATGGTCATTTCAATGGAATTGACTCTATCATATATGAAAGCCAACTAGGCATGTCCCAAATACATTCTTAGAGTCTTGATAAAAACCATATCCATGATTCCCCACTTTCTGTTTTCCAACGTCAAATGTTAGTGGGAGGATTTGGTTATTGTCGTAGATGTCTACTGCTAGGAGCATCGTTCCCAAGTATTTCCTTTTTAAGTTAGCTCTGTTAATGATAATAATAGGATGCAAAAATGTTTGATATGCTCAAATTACACAGTAAGTTAATAGATTAGTCATCAAATCGAATACGTGTATAACAAGTACAAAGAAAAATATATAAGAAATATTACCGAGCCCCTAATAGCAATGAAAAAGTATTCAAATTTGTTGTCATTATCTGCATTTATATATGTAACGGTCCATGAATTCTTTCTCTCTAAATTGTAACAATATAAAGGAAGTCTTTGAAAGCTTTCTGGGGAGGGGGGGGGAGGCTCTCAACAGATTTAGAGCATACATTTTTGCACTCTATGCTTGCCAATACGAAATATGTACACTATTACGGTCATTTAAAGTTCCTTGTAATATCAACTAATATGCCCTTCAATAAGTGACCCTACACTTTCTTGTTGGCTTGTCGATGATGGGGGCTGTGTATTTGAGCATGTGTGGCTTTCCGATAGTTTAGTGACATGAAATGAATTTGTGTCATTATCTTTTGTAGCCCTTAACCTCCATTTACATTTTTTTCACAAAGCAAACAACTTCAAAGATGTCTTTTGTTGATTTTCTCACTCTTATTTGAAAGCCTTCATTAACACATTTGAATCCTAAGTTAAACTTAAGGTTTTCTTTGCTTTTGAACAGTTACAAAAACTTCACATACGAAGAATAAATGTGGGCTACAACACCTTTACATTTTTGTTGTGATTATTTGGGAAACGATAAGGGTTTAGACATCCCCCAATGAGTGGATTGTGTTTCTTTAGAATCTAAACAATAAAAATGGTATTGTTCATGTCGGGGTTTTCGGGCTTATCGGGGCTCAATTTCCTCCTCTTCAGATTCAGTCTCATCCCAACAAATTCAGTGAAGCTTTTGAATTGTTCAACTGCTCTCCATGTGGAATTATATTATCATCATCAACAACTAACATTAGTTTTGCCTAATCATTTGTAGATCCATCAACATGAAGTGCTAGAACAACATCAACAACAACCTTACCTTTATACCTAACATCACCCCCTTCTACATGCCCACTTTAAGAAGGACCATGATTCAATGTCATAGATAATAACTTACAAATTTGGTTGCTTCTAACACCGGAAGACCCATTGCCACCATAACAGTTTCCCCCTGGAAATTGATTAATGCCATTTTCCATAACATGATTAACAACAAACAATTGTTATGTGTTGGAAGACATAGTAGTAACAAAACTAAAAATATATTTTATATCAATATCGTCAATAATTTGTATAAATATGTTTGATCCCGAAGACGTATTTGATTAGTTTGTAACTTGGAATTGGAAGCAACCAACGTAATTAACCAACAAAAGTTGATATCAATCACTGTTTATATCTACACCAAAGTATGTGTAGTCTCGAGGAATATACTACATACTTCTCTCGATTTGCGTCTATTGCCCTCCACTAGAAGCATGTACTCTAAAAAATTTCTTATACAAACTTATTTTTTTTGTATCCAAAAACTTTATAGGTTTATGCAGCAAACAATGAGAATACAAATACCCTAATATTAACGATCTGAAACATTACTCTGGAATGTTCGTACATTCCAGACTAACCTCTGAATTGCATTTTTCTAATCCGGAATGTGAATGTACGAGTGTCAGATTCTATACAAAACAACTAACAAACACCACCAACTCCAGATTAGTAATAATATGTGATATTCAAAGTAATTGGTCATTTTTTAAAATATAAAAAAGAAAACTAGTTATTTTTTTAAATATTTCATTTACAATAGCTAGTTTAACGAATTTGCATATGATCTATCACTAATTATATAAGTCATTCATAATTTCAAAATATACTTTTTTTCCTCTTTTGGAACGGCTCAAAATATACTATTTGATGCCTTGATGGGCAAAATATACACATTAAATGCGCCATCTACTTTTCTACAAGGATTCTAACCTAAATTTGTGAATTTACTCACCAACTATCGTTATGAAATCCGGTTCGAAAAAATAAACTGTCGTTATGAAATAAATGATATTTTCTATCAATTTTTTGTCTTGTTATAATATTTCATAGTATTTGAATATGGCCTCTCCAAGTACAAAATTAAAACCAAGAAAATGACAAAAAAAAGCCGGAAAAGAATATCGAGAATAACAATCTCATTGTATACGGTATACCTGTAGTTATTTCCAAGAAATCTAATATGTTATAAATAATCACTTTTACATCTTTGTATATCACATTCAAGAACAAAAAACAACATATTTCCATCCACGAACCTCAACATAGGCAATGTCCACTTTTAATCACCTTGTTCTTGTTTGTGCCATATTGGTTGTGGTGCTACTTCCGTCAACGACTATGGCCACCGAATACGTGGTGGGAGATGATAGTGGTTGGACCATAAATTATGACTATCAAGTGTGGGCTAAAAACAAAGTTTTCTATGTTGGTGACAAACTAGGTGAGTTGTCTACCATTGTGGAGTCTCTTTCTTTGACACCAATTATTTTTAAAATACTAAAAAGATGCTAGAAAAAGCAATAGCATAAATAGAAAATTTTGGTTTGTGGATCCAACCAACCTAATTTATCTTAAATTTATTTCTCATATTATAGATTCAAATATAAGATTGAGTAACAATCTTGTCAAAAATCCTCACCTTCATTTTGGAATTGAAAATAAAAAACAGTATATAAAGCAAAGCTGACACATTTTTTTGTTGGAAACAGTGTTCAAGTACCCGGTTAATGTACACAACGTTTACAAAGTGAATGCTAGTTCCTTTGCTACTTGCACTATTCCGCCACCTAGCACTGGCCTTACATCTGGGAACGACGTTGTGACCTTAGTGGCACCGGGCAAGAAGTGGTACATTTGTGGTGTGGAAGAACATTGTGCTGAGTTTAACCAAAAGTTGGTCATCGATGTCCAACAAGGACCAATGTCTCCGGCACCCGCACCAAGCAGTGCAACCAAATTCGGGTCCAAGACTTTCATGGCCATCATTGTTGTTTTGACAATGATAGTCATGTTTTGATTATGATATATGTATGTTTATTGATTTATTAGATGTAAGAATAAGACTATGTAGTCTTTTTTTCTAGGCTATTCGTGAACTTAAGTGTGGGCATTTGATTTGCCCCTCAAAGAAAATTATTTTTTTGGTTTATTTATGGAACTTTTTCGAAATAAAAAAACTAATTTTATTAATAACCACATATATAAATAGTATAAGTTTATGTCAATTTATGTTTGTAAGACCATATACATAATTTATATGTTTTGATTTAAAATGATAATAATACTAATAATATATTAACCGTCAGTTAAAATGTCATGAAAAGTCGACCATTTTCAACTCAAATATAACAAAAGTTCCTTCTTGCGCTGTCATGCCAATATAGATATATGAATAATCATATGAATCAAAGTACGTATATGTTTATTCATATGCTTCTTCCTAATATTTTATTTGGCAAAAAATACAACACCTTGATATAAGTAGCCTTTGTTCTAAGTTATCAACATCATTTTTTTATTGATAGTTTGTTTTTTTTTCAACATTGACATTCACATGTGTTTTATTAATTACAAACATCAATTAAATATTGGTTATGTGTACGTAATTAAATCCAAGAATCATGGACTTAATATGTAAACTATTTTTTAATGGTCCGAAACTCTTAAAATAAAGATATATTATGTTAGAATAAATTACTAAAATCATCCATATAGTTTAGTCAAAATTACGTGTTTGGTTTTTAATTTCTTTTGCACTCGGACCGTCTTTATAGTTTGATTTTGTTACGTTCTTTATCCCAGACACACTTTAAAAGACTACATTACCCTTTGCATTTTCTTTTTCAGTTTTTATATTATTTACTTATTATTTATTAATTAAAATGAATTAATAAAGATATGGTCCCACCAAAACATACATTCCTTCTCCCTTCCTTTCCCCTCCACCCCTCCCTTACGTCAACCACCTCTCATCAACCACCACTGTAACTTCCGACAACACCTCTGTCAACCTCCCAACATCACCACCGAAAACCACCACTAGTAACACACCAAATAAATTGAAACTGGATCAAAAATAAAGAAAAAAAACCAACGTATAATCAAAACCAAATCAAACCAAAAAAAAATTTGTAAACCTGTAGCCAAAATCAAAATCAAACCAGAAAAAGGTTGAACGGAGGTGTTGTCGGAGGTTCCAAAAATCATGAAGTCAAAAATCATAAAATGATTTTTAACAAAACTTCCATCAAAATGGCACATTTTCAACCAGAAATCATAAAAATCATTTCAATCCATGAAAAGAAACATGATTTCAATTAAGTATTTCAACAAAAAAACATCAAAACATGATTTCTGAAACCTACATCAATCGAGAATATGATTTCTGAAAACCTGCATCACACCTCAAATTTGTGTCGGGGGGGGGGGGGGGGGCAAGAAATAATCAATCCATAAAACAGTTGAACCCGCTTCTGCGTTCCAGAAAAAAAAATGTTCCAAAATCGGTCTTACTTCACGTCGTTGTGTTGCTCCAACAAACCCATATACCAGCACGATCGTCAATTAGATTCTGGTTGGCAAGCAGAATATTCAGCGGTATGTGGAGTTCTCAAAGAGAGAGAGAGATGAAAGAGATAAGAGCCGCCGGAGAGGGTAAGGTCACCGCGAAGTACGGTCGCCGACGATGGAAGATTCCAACGTCTCTATGTCCGGTAACTTAGGTTTTATTCTGGGGATGTTTTCTGGGTTTGTTTGACCATCGATTGCCTTGCCTTCTCCGGCTACTTTATGGTTTAATACGTTGATGATGTGTGTGGCCGGTGAGGTAAGAGGTGTGACAGTGAGATCTGGAACGAGAAAAGGAGTGGGAAGTGAGAAGGGCCCAAACGTGCCTCTGATACATAATATTTATTTCTTTTCAAAAGAAAAATAAAACAATAAAAAATAACAAAAATAAAAATAAAAATAAAATAAAAATGGTATAACAATCTTTCTACATCGATTAGGGACCAAATGCGCAATAAAAACAAATCATAGAGATGGTCCGAGTGCAAGAAAATAGTCAGAGACCAAACACACAATAATTAATGTTTTCAAAAGGAAAATGGAATTTATTTTATTTTTTATTTATTATCTAATATTAGACAAATCTTATATATATTAGGCATTAATTACATGTTTATATTCTAGAGGGATCATAGTGTAAATATATCTATTATTAATACTTATGTAATCGTGACATTCTGAGAAGATATACAATTCACGTTTTACCAATTTAACTTGGTATCAGAGCAGGTTTTCCCTAACCCTAAAATTGGCGCCACAGCAGCCCTCAAGATCATCAACCGCACTAGACAGCTACAATCATC